GCTGACGTCATCATGACGTCCGCACCCTTATTTTCTTTTTTTGTAAATTTTAAATATATTTTCTTTTCATTTCATAGTATAAAATTCATAAAAAATAGTATTCTTTAAGAATAATTCTGAATAATTACCAGATATTATATTATATCCCTATAATTGACCTAGAAAATTATTGCTATTCTTGGAAGTTTTATTAAATTATACTTGATATATTTGTTCAGAAATACTTCTAAATATCTAAAAATTCGTATTTTCTAGTTTTAGAAATTTTAAATTTGCGTGATTTACTATACAACAACTAAGTCACATCAATAGTATAGAATACAATTATTCAATCTCAAGTTTAAGGTAGGGACCTACTCTTGGACCTCTACTCTTCCTAATTGTGCCTCCATAAATATCTCATTTACTTTCTATTTTACTTGACTTAGCAAATTTTCATCATTTAAGCGTTAACAAAAGTGAGATTTTTAAAAGTTAGATGGCATAGGAGGGAAGATTTATGAGTTTAGATCAGAAAATTTCTATCTACTTAGCCATGGTCGACCAAGTTGCAAAAATAACCTAGTGGGATGTTGACTCATTTAGGTTGACTCAACACTAGTGGGGTCACAACAATCTAGACTAGGTGGATTTGTTTTCTCTGGGTTTGTCTCTTTGTTTTAATTTTCCTTATCCTCATGTTGTCCTAATTTTTCTTCCTTCGAATGGAATTTTTTGACTACCTATTACTTGGTTCTCTTTTCCACTAATTGGTTTATTTTGGTTGTGACTAGTTGCCTACTCTCCTTCACCTCTTCTCTCCTCATCTCTATCTCCTATGCTCAATGTTTTTGTTGGTGCCTTGAGTCATATGGGCTTTCAATTGTCTACTATCAACACTAAGAGCTTCCTCCCTTTCTCTTATGCTAATGTTTCCCTTTTCTCTTGATTTGTGTTTACAGTTTCTTGTATGGTGTCCGATTTTCCTAATGTGTTACAATACATAGGGTTTTTTTTCCACTTCGATCCTTTATTTAACTATGTCATTATCCTCATTCATGATCATGACATAATCTAGGATGGGTTTTGTGATATTTATTTCTATCAATGCCCTAGCATAACCCTACTAGGTGAATTGTGTGACATATTTGTTAATACAATTAAAAGTATTAGGTAAAGTTATGGATTTAAAGGCATGGGGATTTAGAAAGTGCACTTTATGTTTAGAAATCTTATCTAAATTAGGGCTAAAAGAAACTCTACCCTTAAGGAAAAGGAAGGGGACCACTTAAAGGTGCTCATATACTACCCTTTTAGTACCTAGAGGGATCCACTCCATATAGTCTGAAAATCAGATTTCAAAGCTATTCAGATCATGGTGTGATAAGAATCAATGGCTCCTATGAAAATTCCTCCCTTATCTCCATCATGGTGAGGATGGAATTATGTCATGTTGTTCACTCACTAATTGGATCAATTGGGTTCTCCATTGTGTCCTCTACTTGATTGAATATTTATTTAGTTGTTTTCGATGAATCAAGTCTTAAATGTGGCTTGTCGTTCCCTTGAAATTCTGGTTGTTTATTTTCATCATCCAATTGAACTTTTGTTCGATTCTCAAACCTTGGTATTGACTTTTCTCCTTGGGCTTTACAAAATAAGTCTAGTAGTTGTTCTAGAGGATTACTTTCTTCAAGATCAGGTGTGGAAGGGTCCTTCTCACGTCCTCTTAGTTTCCTTCTTTTGACCCAACACCTACAAGAAGTGTCCCTTGACTTGGATTCCTCTCTACGGCTCCATTGCCTAAACTGTTCTTTGTGAACTATTTTTTTCTAGTCAACTCTGAATATATCTCCCTTCTTCTTGAGCTCTCCTAGTTGGGTTCCCTTGGGTTTTTAGTTCTAACCTCTTCCTCAATTGAGTGTGCAGAATTTTTCGAGGACTTTTCCACATCCACCTCCTTCAAGCATGAGTTACCACCCTTTTGGGTGGGACACTCAGTGGTTGCTAGAGTAAGAGTTAACCTTCCACTCCTTTTTCTTGTGGTTTTTCCTAATTCCAAGTATGGATGTTTCTTCCTCATTAGGGTCCCACTATGGGATGGGGGGTCACCGCTGACATTACAAGCTCTTTGGCCACTATGATAGGGAAAACCAAAGAGGGGAGGGTGGGTTGTGGGAGACCACTGTCCGCAATGGGGCCACCTCCACCGTTGACCAAGAAGGGACCACCTCACACCTCCACCATTGAGAGGGTTGGTGATGTAGGTAGCCTTTTGACTACCCACCCATAACTAAGGGAAGGTGTGAGGGGGGATGATGGGGGCCTCCCAACTTGCCAAGTTGCTAGAAGGGGAGGGTGGAGGGGACCTCTATCCGCCCCTTGAAAGCTTGAGGAGAGAAAGTCCAGGTGCAAATGGGTTTTGCTAAGAATGAATAAGACTTTGTTCAAGGTCGTATTCATCTCTTTGACAATTCTAGTTTGCTAAGATATTTTCGTAATTATCTTCTCTTTGAATCCCAATTATTGGTTACTATACTTCCACCATTAGGATACCATAAATATCTACATTTAAAATTCAACTCAAGCTTAATATGACTCTTTCACTTTTTGAAAGTCATAAAAATATTATATTTATATTTATAAAAATAAATACATACTCTCTGGGTTGCCTCTCCAAATAATAGAATAGGTGTAGGCCTCTAGAAATTAATGTCTACGAGCTCTAACTTTTTATATTTTGGTACTCTTTCAAATCTAAAAAATGGATTTTTTTTCTATTTGTCAAGAGTATAGTTTTCACAACAATATGATTCCACTCATCTCAATCTTGGTAATTTGCTATTTTCTAGTATCACTTTCATATATTTGCAATACCAAGTTTTATGTCTTCTTTTAAATCAGTCAATGTAACATTATCTCTAATAAAGTTTCTTTCTTTGTGAATTAGAGTTTTTTTCTTGATTAGAGTTAATTCTTTTTTCTAATACCAAGACATAATTAGAGTTTTTTTCTTGATTCTTTCTTTGTGAATGTCTTTACTAAAAGTTATATATGAGATCTTATTTAGATTTAATTCATTGAATCCATAAGAACCATTCACAACAGCCACCATAGCACCCAACTCTCAAGGGAGATAATAAGATTTAGCATTAATCTCATCATCAAAATGAATATCAATATAATTCAATTGAATAATCATACATTGAATTCATTATGTGGTCACTTATAGAAGTATCATCAATCATCTTCAAACTGAATAAATATCACATCAGATAAACTTTATTTTTTTCAAATATTTTTTCATACATATTAGATACAACAGACATTAAACATATTGTGGTATTCTCATTCAAAATGTTGAATGTTACTTTTTTAGCCAAAGTTAGTTTGATGACTCTCAATGCCTGCCTTTCCACAACTCTCAATCATCTTGTAATATCTCTTCAGACTTCACACAAAACTAGGGTATGATGGAACTTCTTATGATATAGATAATCTTCTATTTATATTTTCTAGATGCTAAAATATTTTTCATTGAAAATTTCAATTTTATATAAATTTTCCTTCATTGGTAGCAATGACTTCCACTCTCTCTTAAAGGAAAAACTCTTTTAATTATGAAAAAACTTGACCATAAACCTAAATACCTTTGAGTGCTGTTGGAACTGTTGGCATTTCTTCATCCTCTTCTGCAAACAACACTATGTTTCTTGGGATCCTCGATCATTGCCTTGACCTCCTCATTCTCACCATCAATCATGGTGTTGGGAATGCTCTAGTAGAGTCTTCCCTCCTCACTCTTATCAACTCTATGTTCGCTAATTTTGAGTTTCAAAAGTGTTTATTCCCTTGCAAAATAATAGAGATGCAATTGTTGTTCATTTGTATTATATAATTAATTATTGTAGAGGTAAATATATTTTTTTCATATATAGTATATATATTAATAGTTATTTCAAAAATATTTGATGGGGTCATGAGGTCAAGCAGCCACTCATCTAGGCCTAGGAATAGGCACCAAGGGCACTTACAAATTGGAGAATTGCACATGTATCTATTTAGTGCCATCAACTTCAATTTTGGGCCTTAAAATATTTAAATGTGAATCTTCAAGTGTTAAACTCATTAATTATCATTCATTTTAATCATTTTTTTGTGTTTGAGATATTTTTTGTATGTGTTTTTTCTTTTTTGATGTTTACTCTACTTTATTTTAGGCATAGTTAATTTTTTTTTTTAGAGTCAATAACAATGATCAAAACTTTGTAAAATACACAAAAAATACTCAAAATACTAAAAAATGTGACTTTTTGAGGAAGATTATGCAAAATGAAATTCTCGAGTGAAATCCCTTGATTATAAATCAAATAAATAATTAAATAGCTTATGCCTTCAATCTCTTCGAACTCTATCCAATTATCCATGCCATTTTGAGACGAAATAATCGAATATGTGAGAATATTCAGCAGAATATTTAGTAAGTTCGGTCCGGAGGGAAGAAAATCCCGTTGTAGCTGGGGCCCATAGAGGTTTCGCGCTGAATTTGTGGGTTCATTTTGGGCTGGGGCCTCATGTGGGTCCGGGCTGAGCCTAATTGGTGGGTTTTTTATGGGCCTGGGCCTACGGCGGTTGACGGGACAACTCTCGCAGGCCTCGCTTTTGAGCTTGGCTTGTGGAGTTGGGGTGTCTCTCTCTCTATCTCATCTGGTCTCAGATTTATTCGTCGGCCCGACCGGACTAAAAGAACCCTTCCCTTGTAGTAGGGTTTTTTCTCTGCTCCGCACCCCCTCGTCCGCCGTCTCCTCGTCCACCGTCCGCCTTCTTGACCGCTGACCACCAGCGGAGTCGGCGTCGCTGCAACAGCCGGGCGCTTGGATATTGAGGAGTCTCGGTTGCCATCGACTGTCCGAGGGTGAGCATTTCTCCATTGTCACGGTACACCTTCCTGGCTCCTGATTTTCTTTTGTTAGGTCTCATGGATCCTCTGCTGAAGTTCAGTTGACAGGAGTCGGGGAGAGATGTCAAGGGCAGATCCACAGCCGCTTTCATATGTTCCTGAGGTAGTGCTGAAGAAAAGGAAGAGTAACGAGGATTCAGCCTTAAGAAAGAGAGGTAATGCGGAAGCACGGAAGAAAAGTACCAGAGAAAAATTTGCAAATCTCGTTAAAAGGCCTGAAGATTTCGTCAAAGAGTTCAGAAGTAAAGTAAGTTTTTCTTTGTAATCGGTCGTAAAGAGATGTGAAACTTCGAAATTTGATTTTTTTTACCGGTGTAATATAGCCATCGAGTTATGTTTGCTCCAAACATTTGTTGAAAAGAGGGGAATTCGGATTGAGTTTTCTTATGCTTAGGTTTGCTTTACATCATTTGGAAAAAAAATAGGAATTTTAATTGTTTTCTTCCTTATGATCTGTTGCACGAATAATTTGACATCATCGTGAACTATTTAATTTACCATCCCCTGCATACTACCCAGTATAATATCACAAGAGTACCATTTATAAAGCTTTAGTCAGAGTGTGTTTTTTTGCTTAAGTACAGTTTTTCCCCAACTTTTATGCCCTGCAGAATTTTTTTATGGAAATTGTATTTTTTTTCCACGTGTAGTTGTGTATTCCTGCCTCTCTGTTCATTTTGCATTTCTTAGATTCCAATGTTTTCTCCTCTGTTGTTGTTTCATTATTTTATTATCACATCCAATGCGCATCTGCTGTATGATTAGCGAGGTATAAGAAATGGTAGATGAAGAGAGCCCGGTAAAGTGGCAAAATGGAGCCCTTTCATTCATGATCTTTACTCTTCACTTCAAATTTTCTTTACGCTAAACTGCTGAGAGGATCTTGTACCCCCATTCTTCACGTTGGTCCGAATTTATTATTGAGTTTATGAAGCATTAGGTGCTTTCCACCCCTTAATATGGCATCTCTTTGATTCATTGTAAAGTTCCTTTGGACTTGGTAAAGTTTTATGACTAGATCTAGGCTGATGATTTAACTTGACTGTAGGAGTTGGATCTTGTCCGGATGAAGAAGAGGGTAAAACTACGCCAGTCATCTCTTGTTGATCCTGAGTCAAAGCTCCTCTTTGTGATACGTACACATGGGTTGGTGATGATTCTGTGCCATCTTTTCCCCAGTTAACGTGTCCCATGTGTTTTTATGGACGTGAATATTTTATTAACAGCGCCAAGGATATGCATCCAAGAACAAAGAAGGTTCTACAATTTCTGCGGTTGAGACACATCTATGAAGGTGTCTTTTTGAAAGCCAATGAAGGGACTATGAGTATGTTACTTAGGGTGGAACCGTTTGTCACATACGGGTAATGCAATACGACAAACATATTATGACCTTCAGCTACAATCTGTTCTCGCTTTTCCCTTGATGGGATTTACTTTCTGCAGGTACCCTAGTTTGAAGAGTGTGAAAGAACTAGTTTATAAGAAGGGCTGCGGGAGGCTAAATAGGCAGAGGTTTCCTCTCACAGACAACAACGTCATTGAGCAGGTACCCCATCGGTATTTTACCTTATATATATATATATATAGATATCTTATATTTCAGAAGGAAATCCGGCGACTATACTTGTCCCATTTATGATTTTTTTGGTTGTGGCTATGTTGCTACTCTGACCTTCCTTATAAAAGCAGAGCTTGGTCATCGTCTCATAATGCTGTGGTTGCTTCATGTATATGCCGAAGTTATTTCATTTAGTAAATGGAGCTCGATCTCGTGGATTTCTTTTCCGGAACACTTGGTCCCTAATTGAAAACCAGAAATAGAGGAATTTGATTTCTTCTTTAGAGAAGACCTAACGAAGGACCTTGCAAGGAAGCATAACGTTAGACATTCCATCATATTGTTGCAAAAGGAAATCCTATTGTTAGATATGTTTTCTCTACTGATTTTCTTGGTTGAAGTTGCCCATGGTCTATGGCTTTTGGTTCACGCTTTAGGGTTAAGTGATCATGGTTTTCATTCTGAGTCTAATGTGCATTGTGTCCACAATACAGGCTCTTGGGAGCCACGGTGTGATCTGTATTGAAGACATCATCCACCAGATTGCCACTGTCGGGCCCCACTTCAAGGAGGTGACAAGGTTCCTCACCCCATTCAAGCTGAAGAAACCAGATGGGCTCCTGCAGAAGAAGAAGAAGCCTTTCAAGGATGGTGGGGACTCAGGTGATCGCAAAGATCAGATCAACGAACTGATCACCAAGATGAATTGATCCCCACAGCCAAAGGGAGAGGCCGCTGTTCTTTCTACCCAGTTCTCTCTGATCAAACATCTTCACCCTAAATTCTTTCCGATTTTCAGCCATGATGCCATCAACCCCTCTCTTGTTGTTTTAGCTGGTCTTAGTGTTTTTGGGGTTCACAAGGAACTAGTGGTGACATGTATACAGGTTTAAGTATTTTCAAGTATCTTGGTAATTTTATCTTTATCTTATAAATATCATAGAATCCTAATATTTTGAAAAGTAGCATCAAAGGGGGTTTGTGGCTTGAACATGGAAACTGATTAAATTGCAGAAGGCTTTTTTTGTTCTTCAGTTGTATTTTTAGGTCACCAAAACGTATCATTGTTTTAATTTGAGTAATAATATTTGATGGTTAGTATTGCACAAAAAGGATATCACTACCCTCATGATTATGCTCTTTCTAGCTCCGTCGCTAAATTGGTTCTTGCGTGTGGTCCACCACTCTTATTTGACCTAATTAAATTAAATTAAATTAATTTTTTTGTTGAGTAATCTAGGAACTAAATGGAGGCACCGATCTCTATCTGTATTGTTCATTTTAAAGAGGGTATGTGCGTTTGTTATTATGTTTTAATTTTAATTTGATTACTAGTATTATTATTTTTGGCTTTATGGAAGTATGTTTCTGTATGAAGTCAGCTTTGTTTTTATAAATTAGCTGAGTATAAATCAACTTGCATTTATATTTATATATATATTTTAATGCTCACTCAATCTTAATAATAATATCAAAGCAAACTAACATTATCGAATCTACACAAGAATAATACTAAGATAAAAATAATTGGCAAATATTTCGAAGCACGTAAGCAACTTTCGTTTCTACAATATTTGCCATTCTTATAACAAATTATTTTTTTTTAGGTGAATCCATTATTCTCATTATCATTTGAAAATCCATTCTTTAGTCAATATCTGATCCTACCTGGGTCATGATATAAATCAGATGATAAAAAAAAAAAATACATCACATAGGCTTTGTGCCTGACCTGACCTAGGGAAACCTTAGTTTGGCCCAAATAAAAAGGGCCAAGATTTCCTGGGCCTCTCCCCAAAGGTTTTCAAAGAGAGCTCAAAATAATTAAAAATCCATGAAAATAAACGGAAATCGTGGATCTGAAGTTCACCAAGGTTTTTGTGAGAAGAGATTCCATCTCCCCCAATTCGGGCTGATTTCTATGCCGAATGATCATCTAACGCTTCGTCCATAAGCGGCTCCAGCAGGGGCCATGCCGCTGCTTGAAGGCATCACAAGAGAACTGAGATAGGAGGAAGATAAGGGGAATAAAAATAAACCAGGGCCACACAATTCTTAGCTGAAAAATAAATAAATAAATAAAATAATATACCAGTACTAGAATAAGAATCAGTAAGAAATAACCTTGGGAGATGAAGCGAAGGCAGCAGCTAAAATTTTGACGTTGTTTCCCTGATCTCTTCCAACGAGATTGTCTGTAAACAAGGTAGGAAGGTGGCGCGGCTCAGTTTCACAAGAGGGAGACTTCAGATTCCAAATATATTCAGTGATTTTATTTACTATGAACACAGATAAATATTGGGTGAGAAATTATGACTTTCTCCTCTTGTTTAGGTCAACTCTTTATTCAACTTTTGGAAAATAATAATTAAAAGAGTGGGAATGAAAACCTTTATTATGGGAAAATAACCAATCAATGATCACGTGTACCAGGGATGGATAGTATCATATCATAGAAACAGGGAAACATGTGAGGGGAACTATGGTGGAAACATCTAATTGCCAAGTTCACATCAGTGCTCATGCAGTAGAAACTCTGGATAACACGACCATCTTGTCGGAATCAGATATGGGTAATGGTACAAACTTTATGCAAAGAAAGAAAGGGAACCTGTTCTGTTCCTGCGAAATCATTCTCGGGTGTGAGAAAAAGCATGCAATGACATTCTTTCCTGCCAACAAAGAAAAAAAAGTTGTCAAATGGTATCTAATAGATCACTTTTTCTTCAGTCATAGACAACCCAAAAGTTCAAACCATAAACGTCTCACCAAATAGATTTCGTTATCATGGATAATATTGGATATATAAAAATTAAACCTAAACTAGATAAGCCAGAAAAGAACAGACGATTCACAGCAATCAGTCATAACAAGAAAGTAACTTGTGTACAAACTCTATAATAGACTACACTATTTAATCAGTCATACAACAAAGATTGAAATTCTTCAGGGCAATGCCAACCTTTCACGCATGGGAACACATGGACAGTTCCAAAATCCTTGTCCTACCTCAGCCTCCTTGCTGTCGTAATGCCTGAAACAGAAGGCAGTTGAGTGCAACTGATATCTCTACAATGTAAATAAAATAATTAGCTGATAATCTAAGGGCCACCATGAGAAAAAGGGAAGCAAAAATCCTAGAATAATCATTGAAGTAAATAAAATATTGCAAAAAAAATATTTACCTGCAAGGGCATAATGGTGCTCCTACAGAATTTTTATGATCAGCCAAGCCCTGTTTCAATTTCCGATCTGCTTTTCGTGAGGGAAAAGTCTCTAATTAAACTAAAAATATGCATGACTCCCGAAAAGTAATCAGGAATGAAATCACAAATTAAAGCTGATGAAACGAGGATTCTCTAAAGTTCATAATGACAGGGAAGTGAAGAATATTATCTGATATTGTCATATATTTTTCCGGTGTCAAGGACTCTGATGAGCTCTAAATATAAATTGAAAAAAGAGACTCAATAGACAGACAGAACCAACAGCTGAGCAGGATACAGTAATTGGAAGCGAGTGTTTGCTGGGGATTGATGGGGGAAGATGACCCCTGGCACAGCTCGCAACTCTCTTCTCCTTCTCACATCCCTGGTGGCTTTGCTCTTCCTCTCCTTTATACCAAGAATAAATCAACCACAAGGAACCCAATGCACGTATCCTTCTCTGTTACCTGATTGTTTTACAGCTGAAGTTGATAGCCGTATCAATGCAATTATTCGAGGGTTCCTAATTTGAAAGCAGCCTTAAAGTTTGGTCTTCTTGTTCCGTGGAAGATCAAGCATAGGTTCAATCTTGTTGCAGATTATAATTAGTCATGGTTCATGACGACTAAACAGATCGTGCATCATGAAGGCAATACTCTAAAATCACTTCGGAGAATGGTTTTTACATCGTTCATGAACGCTGAACACCTCTATCCTACGCTCAACAAACCTGCCTCTAGAAGTGTTCATGTTTGGAGACTGTTTTTCCCACGAGGTGAGCTCCCCTCATTGTTAATTGCATTATTGCACGTATCATCATAGAATAAAATGTCATACCATAAAAGCGGATCAGGAAGACCGAGCTTATGAAAATCAAAATATGGGTCGTAATGGATGATCGACATATTCTATAGAATCATCAATCCAGTAAGGTTAATACATTTATCTCCACCTAAGTTTCAAGGGTTTCAGCATTTCTATCTACCTTGATAACAACAGCAGTGACACCTTTGTCAGCACAGAAATATGTTCCAGAACGACGCGCATACTGCTCCGAGAACTTCCTCATTACCTCGACAGACTTCTCAGAAGGCTCTACTGTAAAATAATAAAATTTAAATTAATAAAAATCACAAGAAAAAATAAAATAAATTACAATATTAATAACATTCAGATACTTTTGTATCCAAGTATAGAATTAGCCTAATATGTGTATTTTTAAAATGGGCTTCTTTTGTATAGGCCAAAAGAGTCTTTTTATTTGATAGAAACCTCAGAAATCTGTCTATAAGCACCCTTCAGATGATCAATGTACCTGATATCATCTCTCTGCCATTAATAAATGCTAGATTCAATTGGGCGCCATATTAGGTGAATTTTTACAAGAATGTTATTTAGGGTCCCTTTTCATGCTAAAATTTTTTATGATGAAGAAAAAGATACTGAAAATAAAATTTATCTGTCCGGAAGTACTGTGTTCATATGATTCATCTTCATCTTCTTGGATACAACAGGAATCTAAGTAGATCCTCACGCCCAGGCTACTGGAAAGTCGTAAACACCATCTTATACAAATAAGACAAATTAAACGAAACAATCCCGTTTAGGATTTTTTTTGAACTTCAATCATTTATTATTAACAAAAAAGCATTAGAGATATCAATTAAAAAAGGAAAATTTGGATGGTAAGGATTGAATAATATGCCTTGATAATAGCGGAAACTCTTGCACAAGAAAAGAAAAAACATTCCCCAAGAAAAGAAAAAGCATTCCCGACTCTAAATGGAGTTATTATAGTATTCGAAGAGGACTTAATTACTCCATCATACTTGTTCCTTTATTCCCTTGAGATGCTGAAAAGAGAGCCTCATCACAACGCAGCAGATTTATTTTCCAGTCTGACCTAATAGGTAGAAATCCTTTTACAAGTGTGTGAGGACCCTCTTATTCCTACCTTCCCCTTACTTCCAGGTCCCAATTTCCTTCTCTAAACCAGGATCAAAAAAACTTGCACAGTTTCTTGGTGTGAATTCAGATGGTCAATGGTATGTTATAAACAGCTCTGCGTTAGTCTCCAAAGCCAATGGTGTCTTGTCCATAAAACACACACTCCAACTTGTTTAGTCAGAATATTCCTCTACCCTCCAACTGGTCAGAAATCTTCACTGATACAATTAATCAGGAACGAAGTTCCTAATGGAGATGGAAAAATAAAAATGGCAAGAAAAATGATGGGATATCAAATTGGAAGTGACCTAAGCATATCACCACTCCAAGATATGTTAAAATTTATCTTTCCCATCAGTAATACATGGTCATCAAATCTTTCACACTCTCATTATTTATATTTTTCAGTAAAATGTTCATTGAGCGAAAAAGGAATTCAACGCCTAGGAAAATCCAGAAGCCCTCTTGAAGCTTCTTATTAGTTCATCTTCAACTAGAAAAAACAACCAGAAAAAATAATTTATGTCTAGCATTACAAAAGGCGATCAAATTCAGAAACTGGAAGGTTGTAAGTAAAAGCTTGCTTTAATAAGAGGGCGATAAGTTTTCCCAAAACTCGTGATTTCAAGCTTATTTATGTCAATGATGTCTGTATTTGTGATGGAAAAATTATCAGGACAAGTTTGAAAACATTAGAACTTAGAACTCACCTTTCTTTTATCGAATGGAGCTAATAATGATATAACGTGTAAAATATGATCAATAGCAGATCAAATGAAGGACGAGTGGGTTTTTGTTAGAAATAATGCTTTTGATAAGATCATTCTATAGATAGTTGAGTTGGCGTAGGATGGTTCACAGTGACCTCAAATTATTACAGGTAAACATCTTAGATCTGGGATTGACCTGAAGCTTGTCCCTTCAACTTGCTATCTGGTCTCCTATTCGAAGAACTGATCTATCAATCATATCTGTGTGTTATGCGACTTTAAGTAATTTTTCATTTAATTTTTTCCCGTGTTTCTTTCCAGAAAAAAAGTTTTCCATTCAGGTGTTATGTCTGTACAAGAAGGTGTAAGAAACTTGTATTTACCCGCATGTTTTCACATAATTGTCTTTGTGGAGCACATGAAAGAATTTCTTATGTAACAAGTCCATCTTGGACGTCCTCCCTAGCCCACCTCAAAGGCCATGTTCATCAATTATCAAGAGTGACAGGAAATTGCATCCACAGCTCACCCTCCAGAGTCACTAAACAAAGTGGTGTAAACTTTCTATGGAAACTGTATGCTTGGCTATTTTTTTAAATTTTCCCAGCTACCAATTTTATGAGACAGGGTTAGCGTTAATTCCTAGTTTCCTTCTCAAAATCCTGACTACGAGTGAAGTAGTGTGGAAGATTTCTTTGCTTCACATCAGTCAGATGACGCGTAAGAATGGCATTGTTTCAATTAGTAGGCTTGACCCGTTCAAGAAACTACAAGATCGCAGCCCTTGAGCTGCGAATGTATGTCCTATCTTCAAATCAATCAGCTTCTTTCCATAAAACTAATTATTTTCCTTTTTTCATTCATGTTTAGGATCTGAGATCCAAAGAGAAGACCACATTTCCTCCCGGAGGTGCTCACTTCGGCCACCAAATCAAGCACCATGGTAGTATCAGGGGCTGTCTTCACAGCCATTTCCGAGAGGGGGGAACAACAGACGGAGAAGCAGATGCTGGTCATCCGATCTATGATCTATGCCTTCAAACGGTTGAGCAAGAGGGAATTTCAGACCTCAGACTGGAGGAAGATAAGGAAACGCAAGTAAACCAACCAAAACTAGGAGAGAATGAAGGATCCTGCAACCCCCGAAATCCAAACACCAGCCATCAATAAATGGCTCGACATCTGAATGGGCCGAAATTTACAAACATAAAGAAAATAGAGAAGAAAGCTTGATGGGAGAGAACTCACCCGTGGCTCGGACGACCAGGAGAGAGCAGCCGTGTGACGCCCCAGTCCGGCCACCAACCGTGGCCGGTATTGACGCTAGGGAGGATGACCATAGGCCGGAACCTCGGTGGGTGGCAGCAGTGGTGCACAAACTGCTCGCCATCGTCGTGACGCCGCTAGCTCTACTGGAAGCGACAACCGGAGATGAAGAGCAGGACTCCGGTTCAAGCAGACACTGAACAGAGAGCGAGAGAGAGAGAGAGAGGGGTAGATCGAATCTCAGCCCATTAACGAAATATGGCCAAATTCTAAGCAGACCTGTTTTACCCATTATTAGCACCCTGCTTTTAAGCTTTTGCGTAAAGACCCAGAGAGAGAGAGAGAGAGAGAGAGAGAGAGAGAGAGTCCTTACTACATAAGAATGTCTTCGCAGTTCAAAAATCACAAAAGACGAGAAAAAAAAATAGTATTAGCCCTAATTGGACAAATTATGCTGATAAAAATTCAGAACAAAAAAACATATTTTTGGCAAATATAGAAAAGAAAAAGTGCCCGATTAATATGCAGATTCCACTTCCTCAAATATTTCATTCAAAGAATATACAACGATATCCTTCTATGTACCATTAACAATCTTAGTACCAAGAAGGTATATTTGTGTTCTTGCACCTTAAATAAAGCATGAAATTAAAAAACCCAAAATAATTAATATGTCATTGATAAAGCTGTTAATAGGTCATGAATTAAAGAAGGGTTCACTAATTTATTGACTCCTTGCAACCTTTCTAGTAATGGTTCCTAGTAGGACCGTATACAAATATTCGGTATAAGCACACAAAAAATTCAATAAACCTTGCTTTATATAGTAAAGCAAGAATATCTTGGTCACATCATATTTTTTGTATCAATTGAATAACTTAGGAAGAAATAGCATTAAAGCATTTAAATAATTGCCATGGGGGGTAAATTCTGGTGACGATTTTTCTGTAGTCATGGAGAGGAGATACAACAATCACACATTGAGTTAGTTCTATATGGAGAAGAAATTATGGTGGTGCTCCCAACTAAACAGTTAGATGCACCACACAAGTGAATTGTCAAGAGTTCATGAATGGTATGAAAGAATAGTTCCTTCCTATAGGCTCAATCATGGCCACCTAAGAGAGTAGGGGTTGACTTGAATGTTCTGCAGTGGTGTAGTATGTCAACAAACATTTTCCTAGGCAAGGTGAATCAATTGAATTTATGGTATTTCTAAATATTGTTGATCTCAAGTAAAAAAACAACCAATAAGACATGCAAATGGATCATTAGAAAAGGATACTAACAATGGATGCATTATTAGACTACAAATATGCCACCCCACTTGAAGTGGAGTAAAAGAAAAATGTGATAGAGGAGAAATGGTGGCAAGACTAACAAAAAAGTTTAGGGCTTGCCAATCTAGATCTCCATGAAGAATGTAGCATTGTTCATAAACCTTAGCACCATTTCTTTTATAATCTTGATGATTACCTACTCAGAGGCTTTCTTGGCATTGGCACATCCCTTATTGCTCACCCATTTATACAAAATTGATTACTAGCCTACTATCTTATACTCACTGGCCTGGCAATAGTTCTCACCCCACTTTCACATGATTATGTCCAAGTAATTCATCCTGATTGAATGCCCTACATATCGCTTCATGTCTAAATTCTCAACTATGGTGAAACACGATCAACTTTTAGTATGCTACTAGCTTTGCACTGGCACACCACATGATTGTCTAAGAAATAGATAGTGCCCAGTATATCTTTGCTATTTTTCCTTGGGCTAGTTGTTACATGCATTAGCATCTCTCTATAGGTAGAGGTCATCACCAAGTATGCATGTCTTATACTATTGGATGACAATGTACGCAAGTTTTCCTTCTATGACAAATCAAGAACTTTTGAGGTTAAGAGAATCTTCACATATAATTTGTGTGATTGTGTAGTTTTCATAAAATAAGGTTATTACATTTTTACAATAAGGATCCCCCATATTTTAGGCCTTACTAGTGTCATTGTAAAAAGATGGAAAATCTGTTCCACAGATGATCATAATTTGAAAAACAATTATGTTAGCTTTACAAGCCTAAATAGTTTTAATAACAATAAGATGGATAGAAGGATAAACTGATGATACCATAGCAGTATAACCTTATTACTTGATTATTTGAATCGTAGGGACTAAGAAGAACCTTTAAATTGAGTCCTTTTTTTGGAGAGAGCTTAGCCAAATCATTTCTTATTTAATATACAATTATGGCTTGCCTTTAGAATACTCTATCTTGTGTCTATGTCCCATCCATGTAACTATCATTGTGGAGAAGTTGTCAAAGTTGATATCATCTTATACTAAGAAGCCAGCAGAAGTTGAACCTTTTGGGTTTTCAATCCACATCAATCAATTTTCCATGAGAATGACATTTAGCCTCACATTTTGAACAATTTATGTCGATTGTGATCCCTCACAAAAGAAAAAACCGTCCACTACCATAGGGTTGTTGTAAGCATGGCCCTACAAATTTTAATCATCTACTCTTTTCAAGTTGTTTGATTCGTTGTGTTTTCCTCACATAATAAAGTAATAGACTAATAGACTAATAGTTTGCCTATGTGACACAATTGTCTTTCTCTGAACAGTTCTTTGAGTTTGAGTGGACCAAGAAGAAGTATGAGGGAGGAGGGGGCTGATTGGTCCCTTCATATGGCTTGAGAGTATGTAAATGTAAAAGTACTAATTAAATTTCAAGCTAATGGTGAGTCAACTTAGACGTAGAAATAAAAACACCCTAGTTTATAGCTTTTTGGGTGATTTGACCTACTCTTCTATCTAAGGAGCACTCTATTGAGGCTTATCTACGCATCTTATAGTACAACTTAATACAATGGCATCAATTTGCCTCTACCTGATTCTCGGCTCTAGCATGCATTGATGTCTTTAACACTTCTTTCTAGATTTATGGCTTTAGAGGGAAAAGTCAGATTACTATGTATCTAATCCCTTAGAGATTGATAATTCTAAAGTGCTAAACACTAGAATTTCAGGCCTAGCTCACCATTCTTGTTTCACAACTCTCTAGAATGTTTTTAAGTGGTAGGAAACTATTAGGAACTCTTATATTGAAAATAGATAAATGTTTAAGATTACAACAAAAAATAAACTTTTTTAATGATGTGGAGTGTGTTAACATTTGATTTGAAAGCTTCAATCACAAGGGTATCACCTTGAATTTGTTACAGTGAATTAGAGGTCAAAACTGTTTTTTGGTGCCATTGATGTGCAAGGGATTCATTGGAAATCTTCCAAAAAAATGTAAAAGGGTTCTCTATTATCTCTTCAATTTTAATTTCTTTAGAATGAATATCTATTTATTTTTATAGGGCTTAAATTGCCAAAATAACCACCTTTCCAGACAATTCTGATGGCTACATATGAGCACCAAATTGCTAGCTGGTTTCTCTTTATTTTAGTATGGGCATAGGTAGCTCTTAGAAGTTGAGAACAATGTAGCCCAAGTGCATCGCACTGTAGCACTTTAGAATAGATTTAGAGCACTATAACAAGGACCAAAACCATTGAAAGTGGGGAAACCAATAAGGTGTCATGGGGGTGCTTTCCTTTTTCTTTATAACTTTTTTCTCATTCACAAATGAGTCAAGATAAGTCGATTTACATTTCAAAAATTATAAAATAACTCAAAAAGAGGTCAAGCTAATTTAAAATTTTCGTAGTGTACAATATTTGCGGAATATAGAGTGATAATAGTAAATAAATAAATAAATAAATTATTTCATCGTCGTATATATTTTGTCAACTTCAAAATAAATGAGTCCATAAAACGTAACAAGTCTTTGACTCCTCACCAAAATATTGTGAGGTATGAGTGAAGAAAAATTCTGAGCTGAGGCTGGTGAAAATTCTAATGAGACCTTGACGCTATTTTCTTGTTCCCAGCGAAATACTAACGAGTGAGTCTAAGATTAACCTCAACCTCATTTTAAAGAGAGGAAAGAGTGACATCTGCGTCCAAGAAGAAGAAGAGATCGGTGTAGGAGACCATTCAACCAAGCGCTGTTTTGAAGAGAGGTTTCTGGTTAGCGGAGCGCGGAGATTCTACAGTTTATAATAATTAAATACAAAATAATGAACACACTGCCATGATTTTGTAAACGCGAAGTTCTAAGAAGATATTTTCACAGGCGATATAAAGTTTTAAAATTTTGGTACGGATGTTGGCCTCTTTGGCCTTCTTTTTGATTTTTTCCACGTACTAGAGGGAGGAGGTGGCAACACTTTCCATTCCCCACCCTCCACTGAACCTCTCTTTTCCCTCTACGTTTCTCCCCTACCATCCTTTGTGCAATGCAGTGCCCCCCCTCTCTCTCTCTAACCCGTTACCTTCACCATTGGACCATTTAATCCTCACCAGGTTTCCCTCTTTCTGTGTCTCTCGCTACGTATCTTTGTGTCGGTTTGTCTCTCTACCCATCTATCTATGATACTTCTTTATCTCAGGAGTACGATGAGAGACTGCGGCATCGTGTCGTAGGCGAAAGCGAACCCTTCTTTCACCGGAAGATACCCACGGCAATTCGGGAGAGAAAGGGGAAGCCTTCCCTCCCTCTAAGCCGCGGCAGGACGTTTGTCTTTCACGGTCTCAGTTCTGACGCCTGTCTCCACCCATCATCCATCCAGAAGAAGGCATGGAGAGAAAGAGCAAGAGAGAGAGAGAGAGAGAGAGCTGCCTCCCTATTCCTGTGACGTCTCTCAATGAAAAGGTCAGTCATTTCCGAAGGGAGAGCGGGTATAAGAAAAAATGGGGTTGGGATTGTTCTGATGGACCTGGAGACCTTTACCGTGTTCTCACGGTGATTGATAGGTCTACTGACCGGATTGCTTTTAAATATTCCTTTTCGATTCTGAGATTATATTAGTACCATACTCTTTTTTTAAAAAAAGACATTATTTAGATATTTTTAATATTATATACCACTATCTCTCTTCTCATTCAATCGTATTCCTTTAGTGAAAAACTTTTTAAAATAATTTAGATCGCTTATTTTTATTATATTCTCATTAACTCTAAATTGTAAAATAGTTTGAAACGCAAAACCATTTTAAAATTATTTACTT